CCCCTAAACACCCCTCCGCGGCCCCGTTTGGGCCATTTTTGGGGAGTTTTGGTGTTGCTGCTGTTAAATCCTCCCGCCTCCAGGATGTTTTTTTTTTTTCCCCCCGGAGCTTTGGCCACCAGAGGGTGCGACAGCACAGAGCAGCCTGCGCCTGGGAAGCGGCCAGGGTGACACTGGTGTCCCCAAGGACAGGGGATGTCCCCTGCCTTCCCCTTGCCGACCCGGCATGGCCGGGACCCGTCCGCTAGACGGCGTCCCTCCACGTCCAGCGAAAACCTCCCGAAATGGGGAAACGGCCCCCAAAACGGCGGGGACTCACCTCCTGCCACCCCACGCGGGGTGAGCCGGGGCCGGCGCGGGACGGCCCCGTCGTACGCAGGGAGCTAGGGACGAGCTTTAGGACGAGACCTGGGTAGGAGAAGGGGCCCTGCTCCCATCCCAAGTGGCCAGATTCAGTGTTATTTTCTCGCGATGGTTGCTGTTGTCAAGGCACGCAAATGGTTTTAAATAATTGTGTCAAAGATGCAATAAAAGTTTGCTTTTGGGTTGAGCAAATTGCTTCGTTTTTAGATGGGGCTCTTAAATCAAATTAGAGAAAATCTTCAATCTTGAAGCCTGGTGAAATCAATCTGTTTGCTCACTGCTTTGGTGCCACTGAGGTTCGAAGAAGTGCCCAGAAACGGGGACACGTGGCTCTGTTCCCGCTCGGGGGCAGGTTTCTCCCATCCCCGCTCTGTGCCTCAGTTTCCCCGCCTGCCTCGGCGAGACGCCGGGAGCCCACGGCGAGCTCAGGCCTGGCCCAGCTCCGCCCGGTCGTAAAATTGCGGACGGAAAGCTGGAGCGCAGCAAAACCCTCGGCCAAGCGCCTGGCCTGACCCCGAGCACAGCCGAGCACCTCCGCAGGCCACCGCAGCTTGCGGGCGCTGGCGCAACTCGTTTCACCCGAAGGATCGCGAACGCAGGAGGGTCTCCGGACGCTGCTGCCCGGGGGAGAGATGGAGGTTCAGCTGTGGTCGGGGGACGCCAACAGCGGTGACGAACCCGGTCTCGTTAGGGAGCATCTCAGGAACGGCGACCCTCAGGGCGCCTACCCCAGCGCGCGAGCGAGTTTGCAGCTCCGGGACACCAGAGAGCAGCAGGGCCAAGCACCAGGCTGATCCCAAAGGCACCCAGGGGCTGGACCTCCGCGGCTTGGGGATGCTGCAAAGCCTCCAGCCCCACATCCTCACATGCAGTTCCCAGCCCTTTTCTCTTTCCTAGCAGCCCCTTTTCCCCCCTTCGCCATCTCCTCACCACACGTTTCAAAAGCAACCACCTGCGACGGGAAGAAAAGCCCCCCCTCCAGTGAGCTTATTGCGAGACCCCAGACGTTCGGGTCCGGGGCAAAACGGCCCTCCCTCCTTCTCCTCCTCCTCCCCTCGCCCGTCCCCTCCGAAGGGGGACGCCAGGTTTCGTCATCGGCTGAGCGGAGCCCAGCGCCCTCCCTGCCGGCTCGTCCCCTTTACCAAGCTCTCGCT